GAACACCCGGGGCCCAGACAGTGCACATCGCAGCCATTGCCGAGGAAGCAGTTCGGCAGGCCCCCAGAAGGGCAGTGCAGCCGCATATATTGGAGGTCACTACGTTTGACAAGCAGGGAAGGCAGATCGGCCCCCCCCGCCCGCGGCCAATGCGTCTGGGCCCGTGGGTCCGCAGCCACACCAGGTTAAGGATGTTCTCGGCCTCGATTGGCTCCGCAGGAGGAAGGCTACCACTCCCAGAGGGAGTTGACAGTAGGGAAAGAGCCAGTCTGGTAAGAGCCCCACCCCCAGACATCCACGAGGAATGGCTACGCGAGGTGGGCAGCACCATGAGCGGGCCGCTCCCCGCCAGGAGGGTGACCACGGAGAACAGAGATGGACTGCGGGCTACAGCAGCATGCTCCACCCAGGAGAACACCTCTCAGCAGCGGTGGCGACAGGAGGGGCAATATCCATCATCACTTGCGGGGAGTATGGCCACCTATACACGTCGACCCCCATGTGGGTCACCATCGCCCTACCAGCTGAGGCTGATCTGAGAGCAGCCTACAGAGGCGCCGACCGCCCGCAGATGAGGGCAACCATTCAGTTGCTACACGGACCTGTGCATCTAGCAAAGCTGGATGCCGCGCCAACACCGGCACCGACTCCCGAAGAGCTAGGGATTGGCACCAGCCAACCTCGCAGCACTACCATACCACCAAGAAGACACGCTGCGGTGGAGTCACTTCCAGGCCCAGCTCGCAAGAGAACGTACCCCCCCCTCGCAGAGGTGCTCACTTACAAAACCCGCCACAGGACCCAGGCAGGAGGCACCCGAGCGCGGTAACACGCGAGTTGCGGAAGCTACACTTGCGCCGGTGCCATGCGAACGAGCCTACGGTGAGGCTCACCTTACTTGAGATAGGTCTTGGCAACGTCAGACTCAACCTGATTAATGGTGTATGCGACACATGTCGGGGGTGCAGGGCTTGGGACAAGCCTGGGAAAAACGGTTATGTCCTCCACTGCACTGCCCGGTAAATTTCACGAAGAAGTGTAATGCTACCTGACGTTCTACAAATAAGAACACAATCTTTCATATCATCGATCGTTGTATTCGATATGCCACTGGAATGGAAGTACCAGACAAGAGAATGACCATTGTCCTGGATGCATATCATCAGTGCTAAATGCAGTTTGGACCTGCCAAGGTACTCTACTCCGACGGAGAGGGTGCTCTTAAAAAGCGACACTGCGAAAGCAGAAAGGGCACTGAATTTAGGATGCGTGCGCGTGGACAGCGCGCTACGACGACCGAAGCCAGAAATGACATACTACGCCATCTACTTCATGCCATGGAAGCTGAACTCAACAGGTTGGACATTCCTCTTGTGTTCACACGACTACTGCACGAGGCCTTGTTCGCCGCAAGCGCGTTCACCTTCTACAGCGAGGTGTCTCCTCACAACGATGCTTCCTGACTTGCCTGTCTTGGACCGCGAGCAGCCGACGGAAACGTCGGATCATTCTCGTGAAGAGACGACGCGCACGGTATGCATTGAAGCTAGCTCACAGGCCACAGCAGTAGCTGAGACCAATCGTGCCTTACGCACTAAGACAACTGTCACCGGTCAGCATTATTTCGATGAAGGAGACTTGGTCGATTACCATCGCCCCACAACCACGAACGATGACTGGGGAGGCTGGAATGGCCCATTCACAGTTGTAATGAGCGATCCCGAAAGGGGTCAAGTCATCATCCGAGTGTGCAATCGAGATGTTCAAGTGCAATACGGCGACGCACGACATTCATTCTATATTGAAGCACGATAGCCCGAGACATTGGCTCCGACAACACTGCGCTACGGACAGCGTTGACGTTCGTAGCCAGTTTGCCAGCGGGGAGACTTGCTATGACCTTTGGCAATGTGCCGACCAAGACAGGGGCGCTTCAGATGACGAGTGCAAGCCGTTTATCTCCGAAGGTACACTGAGCTCTACAGTACCTTATCAGAAACTTCTTCCTCATCGAGACCGTTGTTTTGGTCAGGCTCGCTAAGGGTATCCATGGGCTACCTCTGGTTACTTATGCTGACATCTGCACATTGGTCCACTATGACAACGATGTGAACCCAGGACTTCACGGTTATGAAGCAGAAGGCACCGCGCTGAACATGCACGACATAACTGGATCGGCACATTCGAGAATCACCCAGTGCCTAAAGTCCACCAAACCTCCAGCAGGTATTGATCAGGGCGTGACATGATTTGAGGAATTGGCGGGTGCACCGTCACCGGATGGAACCGCAAGTGAAGCCTCAGAAGCCGAACCACCACATGATGATGGACGGCGTTCTACGATCTACGAGGAATCGGAGGCCGATCTCGAGGCGCATGTCATGGAAGTGTGGTATGCTGAACTACAACACGAAATGGAACTGCTGGAGGCAACTCCACCAGCGGACCTTCTCACAATGCCCACACAGATGGTTCCAGATCAAAGTGTGCTGATCTCTGTAGCTGATGGACAGCGGGGACACCTGCCTAAGTGGGGGCGCGCACGCGACTCCGACACCGAGGAGACGCATCACGTCCCAATGTGTTCCATGGTCGAAGACTGTCGCTACGGACTGGACTCAGACGAAAATTGACACTCTGTATAGCTCTGCTGCACGGCAGAAATGTCACAGGTAGTCCTGTCCGAACATCCACACATGATAGTAGATGCCGGCCGTGTGACCACTGTGCGAGTATATGTTATCGCCGCTGCACAGCGAGCAGTGGTCGTCAAGGAAGACGACCTCCTCGAAAGCTGACATCCAGGCGAACCCCGAAAAAGTATCGAAGGCCCGCTACACTGCACTCAAGACATGGTTTGACAATAAGTGCTTCAAACATGCAAGACATAGCAAGAGCGCCAAACATGCGGACTTCGAGGTACGCGCACGAAGTTTGTGAAGAACGAGAAGGACGAGATGGAACGTACCATCAGATTACGCCTGGTACTCCGAGGCTTCATGGCCCTGGAGCTTTCGACGTAGAAACCTTTCGGGAACAGCGCGGCGGTCAAGCCAGATACTTCTCGCTAGCACGGCAGCGCGCGAGGGGCAATGGATCGTTGCTTCCCTAGACATCAACATGGCCTTCCTGAAGGGGTTCACCTGTCAGGAACTCGCTGAGGCAACTGGTGAAAAAGGAGCGTGTGGTGTGTTTTACTTTGCCGCCTGGTTCGGCTACGGTGCTTCGGGCCCACCCAGGATTTGAACGCTACGACGAGGCGAAGCATCGCATGCGGCGATTGAAACCAGGCACTGGCACCAAAGACGCACCACGAGCTTTCCCAGTACAGCTCAGAAGGGCCACCCGAGGTTTTGGTCTCCGATCCACGTGCTACGACGAGGAGTTCGAGATGAGCAACAACCTGCCTACGGCCAAACATGTTGATGATACCAATATGGCCGGCACTGAGGACACCATTGACAAGTGCGCCGAATCCGTAGAAGACACCCGTGGTAAGTGTAAACTCAACAAGCACACATACACCAAGTGTGCCGTGAGATAGACCAAGCACGAGGACGGCAATGTTACGTTGGACCAAGTCGAATACATCAAGCAGCTCCGTCCTATACAACATCCTGAACGTACTGGCGCCGACGCTGACGCTCAGGCATCCAATATGGTTTCATACATGTTCGTCAGCCTCAGGCGTGCGCTGGCATATGCACTAATCGCCCAAGTGTGTATGATGGTGTATGTTGTATCTCCACGACGTGTCCAAGAACCGACCAACATTCAAGTGCGACGACTGAGCGCGATCACCAGGGAGCTGCAGGCCGGCCCCAAGAATATCGCCTTTCAGGCGATGGCTCCTACGGGCGAGTATGACGCGCGTAGCGACTCAGGATACCGACGCCTGAGTGGAGACGCCGATGGCGACGTCAATGGCTATGGTATTCGCGGGGCAAACCTGCTACGGCGTGGAAGCACGCCATCCGGTAAACCTGTCGTCCACTTGATCGATGCGCACTGCATGTCTCACCGCTTGCAGGCCCGCTCGAGTTATTCCCACCACCTGGAGGATTGTTATCCCACGATTGTGACTCTGCGCGGTCTCCACGCAGGGCCGCTCGCGTCCACTCAGTTGAAAGACGCACTTGAGTTGGATGGCCTGAGCATCAAGGTCACTTTGACCATAGATGGTGGGGTATGTTTTTTAGTCCTTGTCAAGCATAGACCTGAAGAAGCCGACTGGGTGAACCCTTTTAGGACACATCAATTGGATACGACAGATGATGGAGCGCGGAATCGTGCACAGCATTCAGTTGTGCGACACCCGCGATATGACTGCGGACGGTCACACCAAGGGGAGCACCGACAGAGAGATGCACCTACAGGTCATGGGAGGTATACAGGCCTTCGAACATGACCTAAAGAGTCATACTCCATGTCGGGCCGGCCAAACATCTGATTCTGTAGCCGCCTGAGGAGTATTTTTCAGTACAGGATCGTACAAGCAAGCCAATTTGCGAGCGGGTCCACCTTCCCACCCTTTTTCTGTCCTTTTGTATATTAGCTGCTATGCCTGCTGCATGGGGGCGGCGGAGTCACGCTTCGCCTCCCTCCCCTCCGATTCGAAAGCGAGCTGAGAGACATGAGGAGCGGAAGCGAGCGTGTGCCCGCGGCCGCGTCGGCTCAAGCGGCCGGCCGCCCAGATGCGACTGCGCTTCATTGCAAGGCAAACGATTGCTATCGAGACCAAGATGATCTTCCGATCGCTTGAGATGGCACATCCTCTCCTACTGGGACTATCGCTACTACGGTACAGCGGAGCAAGAGCTTGGCTTCGCCTAAGGCGAAGCTGTTGGCTGGGCCTCCCAGCCCCCTTCAAACCCTGTCGCCCAAAGGGCTGGTGTGATTACGCAAGCACACGTAACTTCGCGCAACACACTTGCGGCGACGACACTTTTTACAGCCCGCGTGCGGTGAGCTGGTCCTGTACCAACAGAGGGTGGCAGCAGGAATCGTCCATTACGACGTGAAGAGTGAGAATATTTTGCTCGGCCTAGACGGTGTCTGGAAACTGGCCGACTTCGGATCAGCTAGCGTGCAGACGTTCGAGCTTGCTGGCGCCTCCAGGCGAGCCTGGTGTGCCCGCTTGTTTCAGAAGCCGCATTCAACGGCAATGATCGATTGGAGGGTTTTCCATGCATACAGTCACGCACGTCCCAGATGCGTGTCTAAGCAGGACTTCGTTTGATTTATACTTGCGTCCATAATTCTCGCCACGGCTTGCACCATACGATTCACATTGTAGGCACGGCCACGGTCCTTCATGAGTTGATGTGTTGAGGGCAGTCCTTTCGATTACGGGGAGCGGTTCGGTTGCGAATCCGAGCATATTTCACGCAATTGGTTTGTGGAGTGGCAGTGGAGATTTGAGTTTCTTGGTCAGCAAACGAGCGCATGAAACGCATGACGCGATTGCGAATGTTGCCTGTGGACGAGTTGGGTACAGAGCATCATTATCAGGTGCAGGGGTCGGAGTTGTCTTACAACGATTGCCGACAGACTCAAATGTTGCAGCGTTGTGCATAACAGTTTCTTCCAGGCGAAAGCTGCTGGAGGTGGAGGAATTCGTTCATGGAAGATGCACGCCAATCTACAGGCTAGCGTGAGCTTATCGAGTAAGGGAGAAGGACGAGGGGAGAGGGGAGGCAGAAAGGGGGGGAGAGCGAGCGAGAGAGAGAGAGACGAAAGTGAAAGGCCTGTGTGTGTTTTCCCAAATCAGGCTTGTCCTCGATGATTCCTGCTGTCTGTTTAAGGGTCGGGCCGCGCCAGTAAGTGCGGCCAGACTCTATGCGCTGCCAGAACTCAACTCTCGGGCCGGGCCTGATTCTTGCAGACAACGGCTCCAGCCGTCCAAATTTTCGTAATATGAGTACTTCAGTCCGACCATCCAAGGTCAAACCTTACAGCCTGTACAACATCTGCCATGAGGGGCGACGGTTGGATTGATTGACGACAGAGCATCATTTTTGGGAGGAGGTCAGGGGCCGAATGGTGAGGAGAGTTCCACGATGCATGGGCGGTCGGTGCACCTAGTATGTCTGGACGGAGAACTTTCTTGAGGGTAGGGCGTCGTTGTGGTATTGGTGGTTTTGCGCGCCCGCAGTTTGCACGGCTGTACGAGCGCAAAGCGTTGTGGCACCGTCGCAGTGTTCAGTCGCGCCTCATTCGTGTAATTCGTCCTGGGCATCGAACCGACAGGGGTTAACCAAAGAGCTGATTAAAGCGTCGCACAGGCCACCTGAACTGGCGGACGTGCACTTGCGATGGCCCATCGGAGGGGTATCGGGCAGTCACTGAAGGGATGAGGATGCCTCGCCTAGTGATTACAAGAGAGGTCGAGCTGTCCTGCTTCGGCGTGGCAGCGCTCCGACCGAGCCAGGCGCTCTAGTCGCCTCTTTCCCAGACCCCCCCAATTGTCCCAGGCCAATCGACTTTGACCGGTACCCGGTACCCCCATTCATGCGCGTGCCTCTGTGCTCGGGGGGTAGGGCTGCCCAGGAATACTGGACGAGGGCGGGTCAAGGGGAGGGAACACGAGCGAGCGCCACGAGAGGAGCCGCCCGCCTGCGCCCACCCCCTGCCCCGACAAGCGCCCCCCCAATCGGAGCTCTCGGCTCGTCGGGCCGCCCGCCCGCCCTACGAAACCGCTGCCTCGCCCGCTCCGTCATCAGCCATCCCTCGGCTCAGGCTGCCGAGGGCCGGCGCTTTCCCGCTTGCATATCGCCCGTCACTTAGCGAGGGTGGTGGCGCGGCAGCCACACGACTGCGCCAACAGAAAACAGAGACCAGGATTGGGAAGGAGTGAGGCAGGGGACCAACCATGGAAACGGGTATCGGGTCCGGGACGGACTCTCCAGGACCAGTTCTTCATCTTGAGTCGTTTTGGATGGCCACAGGGCCCAGGAAGAGTTGGGGAGGAGAGTCTTGCCCTCGGCTGTGTTTCGGGCGTCTTGCAGCTGCATTGCAGCAGCATTGGGCCATCCTGGAGCCGCCAACAGGCAGCAAAAGTGGACCACCGAGCAAAGCCGCTGGCGGTGTTTCTCAAGGGGTGGTTGCAGGACGGCTGGGGGCGACATTATATGTCAATTTGCCAGGCAGCCGCAAAGTATTCGAACACGCCCCAACGTGCAATAGGTACGGTGGCGGATTCAAGGTGAGTAAAAGTGGTGTGGCAGTTTTCGCAGCAGATTACATTGCAGATCCCTTCAACAAAATCGCAGTCGATCCACCTAGACTTGAAATCAGCTTCAGCTTTCCAGGAGTCAGGAGGATGCATCCCAGGCGCGAGGCGGAGTGTCGTGCTCAGTGCTCACAGGCTGCCCCCTGATTTGCACCCTGCCGACGTATCCTCTGCAAAGATTTGATCAACTAGACAGTCTGTATGGGCAAAGGCGCCGTTCCTGTGCAAATGGGCAGCGACGCCGCGTGGGGTCCATCGCAGATCCAACTGTCCTGCGAATGCCAGGGCGTTTTCTACACAATGTCCTGGCAACATGCCAGCAGGTCCGATTACATCTTGACGCGCTTGGGGGTTTACCTAGTGGCCTACGGCCCATCCTGTCAATGTGGCTGGATATTTTGGAGGTGGTCTGGGGATCGATGGGGCGTTTCTTTATGTCTCTGAGGTGTCTCTGAAGAGATCTCGGGGTCTTCTTAGGCGGGGGTGGGTCATGGGCATTTGGCCCGGCACATCTTCTGAGGCCACCAAGTGTAAACAGCCGAGGGGTGTGCAATAGCTTTTGACGTTCAGGAAGCCAGCGCGCCACGTCACAAGAGGGTTTGATATTTCTGGTAGAACGAGGGTCAGTGCACGCAATCACCTTACACTCTACCGACCACTCTGTACCAAGCACAGTGCCGGACTTGTGGCGACTATTTAGAACAAAGTGTCCGCCCGCGCCGTAAAATCCGGGCATGCCACAAATCCACTGCAAATATTGAAGAATGTTGCGCATTTGTTTGGCGCCGTCGAGATGCATGTCGTGCAAGTTGTATTTCGTAGCCCCTGCGGTAACGACGCAACGCAGTTCTTGACGCTTCACGTATCCCCGCCAGCTTCCGTAGCCTCTTGCTCAAGCCCTCTGGCTCAAGCCCTGGCTCAAGCCATGTCGGCTCGAGCCCGCCCCTGACTCAGGTCGGCTCGTGCTCGGGCCCGCGCGCGATGGAAACGCCGGCCGCTCGGCGCCGCCGGCAGAGGGCCGCGGCCGCCGCTCGCGCCGCCGGCCCCTCCGCTGCCGGCGCCGCGGCCGCCGCAGGCGGCCGCTGCCGCGGCGCCGCGGCGCCCGCCCGCCGCCCGCCGTGGGCGCCGCGCGCGCGGCGCGCTCGCCGCGCTGCCGCGCCGCGGTCGCCGCGGCGCCGCCTGGGCGCCGCGCGCCGCGCGCCGCGCCGCCGCCGGCGCCGCGGGCGCGGTGCGCCACTGGCGCCGCCGCCGCCGGCGGGGGCCGCGGGCGCCTCGGCGCCGCCGGCGCCGCGGGCGCCGCTGGGGCCGGCGCCGCGGCTCGGTGGCCGGCGCCGCCGCCGCCACCCCTGCGGCCGCCGCTGCCGCCGCTGCCGCCGCTGCCGCCGCGGCCGCGGCCGCCGAGACCGTGGCGGCGGCGGGCCGCGGCGAGGCCGCCGCGGCCGCCGGCGCCGTGGCTCGCGCTGCGGCGCTGGGGCCTGCCGCGGCTGCCGCGGCCGCCGCGGGTGCGGCGGCCGCCGCTGTGGCCGCTGCGGCCGCGGGCGCCGCCGCGCCCGCCGCGGCGCCCGCCGCGGCCGCCCCTGCTGGACTCCCCGCCGCACGCCTTCCTGAGCGAGCTGGGCGGGCTGGCGCTGGGGGGCCTCTGCACGCCCCCTCGGGGGCGCCCGGCGACTGCGAGAAGAACGGCGTTCTGGGCGTGCCCTTCGGCAGCACCATGCTGGCCGGCGACCGCGACGGCTGCGAAGACGACCACGACCGCGTCCACGACGACGACGTCCACGGCCTTCACGGACGCCGTCGCCTCTACGACGACGACGACGACGACGACGTCCACGACCGCGAACGCGATCACGACGCCGACGTCGACGACGTAGACCAGACAGGCGTTCCTACAGCTCCTCATTCCTATCAGCGTGCGGCACGAGCTCAAGCTATCACATTGCCAGTCGCCGGGGCTGTCGGCCACCGCCTCATATCCCAGTGCTCCCCCCCTGGCAACAGTATCGTGGCGACAGGTGGGAGGGCTGCTGAGGGAGCGCCCGCGGTCGTAGACCAGCCTCCTCCCGACAAACACGAGCCTTCAGCCGAGGGAGCGCCGCGCGAGACAGCAGGAGTGGACGAGCCTGTAGCTCGGGATTCTTTAAATGGACAGATGGACGTTGACGGCGGCACGGCCGCCAATCAGCTCCCTGGTCACCCCTGTAATCCCGATGACTCCCGTCTTTCATCCGCCCCCCAAGCTGACAGTCACAGACGGGACGAGCCTTCAGCTCGGGAGTCACAGGCGGGACGAGCCTTCAGCTCGAGTCTCCAAGGCGTCTCTGACAGCTACAGAAGGGGCGAGCCTTCAGCTCGAGAACCAGCGACGACGCCCATGGATGCCGAGAGCGCCGCAGAGACTGCGGCCATGAGTGGCGGCGGCATTCTCGAAGGTCGGCTCAGTAGCTTGTCCAACGAGGGTGGGCGGCCTGTGCTTGAGGCTGCCCAGTGGGGTGGCGGCGGTGATGATGGGTAGGTGGGCCGACCGCTGTCCGCCCACGTCCCCGACCCACATCCCATTGGCTCACGCCCACACTCCGCCGACCACCCTCCCTTGGACGCGTCTAGACAGAGAGGAGCAGCTTTCAGCTGCGAGGGGGTCGATCCTTGGTCTGTGGAGGCCTCCGTCCTGGTCGCGCAACCGACCCCTCCAGCTGACTTCAGCCGACGTCCAAACGGCTCCCGCCTTCCGCCCGCCGCCTCCCCCGGACACGACAATATTGCACGCGCAGAAGGCGGGCCTTCAGCCCGGGGAGCGCCGCGCGAAGCAGCAAGTGTTCCTCGTTCCTATCAGCGTGTGGCACGAGCTCAAGCTATCGCATTGCCAGTCGCCGGGGCTGTCGGCCACCGCCTCATATCCCATTGCCCCCCCCTGGCAACAGTATCGCGGCGACAGGTGGGGGGGCTGCTGAGGGGGCGCCCGCGGTCGGAGACCAGCCCCCCCCCCGGACAAGGACGGGCCTTCAGCCCGGGGGGCGCCGTGCGAGACAGCAGGAATGGACGAGCCCGTAGCTCGGGATTCTTTGAATGGACAGATGGACGTTGACGGCGGCACGGCTGCCAATCAGCTCCCTGGTCACCCCTGTAATCCCGATGATTCCCGTCCTTCATCCGCCCCCCAAGCTGACGGTCACGGACGGGGCGAGCCTTCAGCTCGGGAGTCACAGGCGGGACGAGCCTTCAGCTCGAGTCTCCAAGGCGTCTCTGACAGCTACAGAAGGGACGAGCCTTCAGCTCGAGAGCCAGTGACGATGCCCATGGATGCCGAGAGCGCCGCAGAGACTGCGGCCATGAGTGGCGGCGGCATTCTCGAAGGTCGGCTCAGGAGCTTGTCCAACGAGGGTGGGCGGCCTGTGCTTGAGGCTGCCCAGTGGGGTGGCGGCGGTGATGATGGGTGGGTGGACCGACCGCTGTCCGCCCACGTTCCCGATCCACATCCCATTGGCTCACGCCCGCACTCCGCCGACCACCCTCCCTTGGACGCGTCTAGACAGAGAGGAGCAGCCTTCAGCTAGGGGGTCGATCCTTGGTCTGTGGAGGCCTCCGTCCTGGTCGCGCAACCGACCCCTCCAGCTGACTTGAGCCGACGTCCAAACGGCCCCCGCCTTCCGCCCGCCGCCTCCCCCGGGCGCGACCATATTGCACACGCAGAAGGCGGGCCTTCAGCCCGGGGAGCGCCGCGCGAAGCAGCAAGAGTTCCTCGTTCCTATCAGCGCGTGGCACGAGCTCGAGCTATCGCATTGCCAGTCGCCGGGGCTGTCGGCCACCACCTCATACCCCATTGCTCCCCCCCTGGCAACAGCATCGCGGCGACAGGTGGGAGGGCTGCTGAGGGAGCGCCCGCGGTCGGAGACCAGCCCCCCCCCGACAACGACGGGCCTTCAGCCCGGGGGGCGCCGTGCGAGACAGCAGGAGTGGACGAGCCTGTAGCTCGGGATTCTTTAAATGGACAGATGGACGTTGACGGCGGCACGGCTGCCAATCAGCTCCCTGGTCATCCCTGTGATCCCGATGACTCTCGTCTTTCATCCGCCCCCCAAGCTGACAGTCACAGACGG